ATGCGTAATCCCCGTGCCCGGTACAATTTGTCCTGCCTTGATCTTGTCTTGGAAGTGCGGCCGTTGGAATCCTCCGTGATAGCGACGGTTATATATGTTTAGGGTAGGCGAGGGTTTTTGATCCGGATGGCCGGGTTTTCCCTTGCACCGTTACTGTTTAGAGTCCCTAGGTCTGATCAGGGGTAACCATGCCCCACGGATGGTTTGCCACTTGCGTGAAAAACCAGGGAGGGTGTTCGTGTGTTTGGATACGGACAGGTATTGATCGACCGCAGTAACGGATATATTCGCAGATAGGAACGTAGACATACCATTTTGGGGTTCTTGTGTTTGTGACCCCTGCTTCTCTGTTTTCCGGAAGCACTCTTCTTCTTCTCTTCTCTTGCTTCTGCGTTTCTAATACAAGCGATATTCAGTCTCTCCCTTCCAAGTCGCGGACATATACAACAGAGGCTGCCACGCGGCGTGTGCACATTTCATTTCAACTCAACAACTGGATCGTTTGAGTGCCTTGTGGCGATCCTTCTTCATTGCTGCTGTTGAACCATGCACAGCAGTATTATTACAGCAGTACGTTGTACTTCTTGTGTTGAGTCTCTTGATGCGATGTTTTCAATAAGCACATTATTTACGTTGCCATTTCGTTGTTGTGCTCACAGCACGTACTGTTGTGTGAAAATTGCAAACACGTGGGTGACTACATACATTGGGTACAGCGGTCGAACGATCGAGGGGTCGTATGGTATGGTGTATTCCAAGAGGCTGCCACACGTGCATACATATAATTTCAAAGATGGAGTGTTGTACACGCAATCCATGCTTCATGTACTTCGTAGTTCAACCACATAGTCTACAGATCGGACGAGAACATCACGTGATGATGGCATATGTATGCTCTACCGAGCACCCCATGCAGCCCCCCTGCTCGGTACGAGATACGATCAACGAAATCCCCGTCACGACTTTCATTGCCAGGTAAAACGGCAATAAATCAAACTACGCATCCAAACGGAAATCATCCATTCCAATTCAAACGATCTCCCAATAAGACAATGTTCTACGAAATCTATCTGTCGATCTCCCAATAAAACACGTTCTACGAAATCTTTCAAATCTTCTGATGATGTCGAATTGCTATCCCCTAAAAGGTCTGTCAATTAACAATTCACTCTCTTGAGAAAATGCTTTATCAATTATCAAGCAGTTCAAACGCAAACAATTACCTTTGGAAAATACCCAGCAAAAAGATCAACATTAGTCTATATCAGAATCACGTCAGAACGGGGAGGACGGGTAACTCCGGGAAAACGTGTCTTACGTCCTGACTACTCAGAACAAACTCATTCCTCAGATAAATATTCATGTTTCAACTCAATGACCAGTTCAAATAGCAAAACATGCCAAACCCTTCGTCCGATATCCAATACCTTGACAAAGAAACCACTCCAGCAGCCCCCCTGCTCTAACATCCATTCCATCCTCAACATGAAGTCAAAATCAAAACAATCACACAATCCAACAGCCCCCCTGCTGCAGCATTCATCCCGAAAAATCAAAACCAAAACAAACAAACCACCTGCGACAAGGATCATGGAACAATACTTCCCCCCCCATGGTTCTCACGCAGAACTATCCCATCCATCGCGAAAGCAGAAACAACATCGAAGATCCGATCAAAGGCCAGTTCCAGATCACAAATAAAACACAGGATGCAAGAAAGGCCCCCCCGCTGAAAAAGTGTAACACAAAGAGCAAAATCAACCAATATCATCACGAAGTCACGATGTGCGCAAAAAGTCTCCTTGGGCAGCGGTTTGGTCAAGAAATCCGCGCGTTGCAGGTCCGACTGTACGTGGACTACCTTGAACTCCCCCCGCGCTACACGCTCACGGATGAAATGGTGGCGGATGTCGATGTGCCTCCTTCATCCCATCAGACATCGCCACGTACTCCGCTTCCGTCGAAGACAGGGTGACGCACTTCTGCGTCCTACACAGATACATCACATACGCACCAGCGAACATCACTAGTGCCCCAGAAACAAACCGCCGTTCGGTTGCCTTGTTGGCAAAAAGTTCCATGTGGTCTCCTCCCACCGTGCCCCTTTGAAAAGTAATCCCGTACTTGCTCGTGAATCTAACATACATCAACACATGCAAAGCCGCCTGCCAGTGCAGTCGCTTCGGCGCGTGTGAATACCTCGCAACGGCACGTACCGCGTTGAGAACATTCGGGCGAGTCTGATTCGCCAGCCACATCAAGTGTCCCACTAGCGACCGGAAAGGCTCGTCGACATCGGGCTCGTCGGCGTCGTACTGCTCAAGCTTCAACCCAACGACCATAGGTGTCTCTTTGTCCGTCGTCACACCGAACTTGGCAACGATCTTCTCCGCTACAGCCTGCTGCGAAATAGTCACCGTCCCCGACACCGTGTCACGAANGCCTCCTTCATCCCATCAGACATCGCCACGTACTCCGCTTCCGTCAAAGACAGGGTGACGCANTCAAGTGTCCCACTAGCGACCGGAAAGGCTCGTCGACATCGGGCTCGTCGGCGTCGTACTGCTCAAGCTTCAACCCAACGACCATAGGTGTCTCTTTGTCCGTCGTCACACCGAACTTGGCAACGATCTTCTCCGCTACAGCCTGTTGCGAAATAGTCACCGTCCCCAACACCGTGTCACGAGAAAACCGGCAACCCGCATACCAGCGCAGTTCCCCAAGGTTGGAAATGGGCACTTACCGGTTGAGGTCAACAACAAACTGATCGCACCTGCTCTTGAGCCCGACAGAGAATATGTCGTCTACGTGGATCACAACCACCATGGTGACTACACCGCTCTCGATCAGACGCACCACGAAAGCATCGGCGGCAAAAGCCTCGAAACCAAGACTCTTCATGCCACGCATCAAGTGATAATGCCATGTGCGGGACGCCTGCTTTAGACCGTAAAGACTCTGTCTCAACCGTACGACCTTACAGGAAAGCGCACCGCATCCAGGGGGAAGACGAATGAACACAACCTCATCCAGTTCTGATTGGACAAAGGCTTGCTCGGCATCGATATGGCACAAGTCCCAATCTAACACACAGGCAATGGCGTCTAGCATTCGAATGCTCGTGATGGAAGGACACGGGGAGAAAGTCTCACAGAAGTTAACACCCTCACGCTGCGCAACCCCACGGGCTACCAACCTAGCCATAGCAACGCACAGTATTCCCAAACTCGTCTCCCTTCCATGAATACACCCACTTGGCGGAGATGACGTTCGTCCCTCGTTGCTATTCCGCCCCGACCTCCTCGAAGGTGCCCACTGCATTCAGCCCGAAAAACTCCTTGCGTTCGGCGTTGGTCCAGATGTGGTGGTGTGGCCCCGCGTGCGCCTCCCCGTATGTCTCAGACGTCTCCAGGTCGCACACCAGCCCCGTCGGCAGGGCTGGGTCAGCCACGCCCTGTGCAGGAAGCTCGGCGATGGACCTTTGATCTCGTCCTCCGTGGCTAGAAGAGCAAATGTCCCCGGCCCCGACCCATCTCGCTTCGCCTGCGACCTCGTCACTGCGGGGGTCGCTACAAACTCCCGCTGCCCCTGCCGACGACGTCCGCCTGTACCGCCCTCATGCACCATCTCCGTCCACAGTCCGTCCGATGCCATCGCCGCCGAGTGCGCGGGGGCAGGTGTGGCAACAGGTGCCGCAGGTGTGCTCACCCGCGAAGGCCCCCCCACCATCCGCGCAAGTTCCGCCAACACCGCGCTGGGCGCTGCTCCGCTCTCCACCATGCTCTCCGGCTCCGTCATATGCTCACGCTGCCGCTGCTCCGTCGCCGCCGGAGTTTCCGCCGATGCTACCGCTCCTGCCGCCACTGCGGGGAACCCCGGCCATCCCCCCCCCCGCCGCCGCCGCGGGAGGAACACTGCCACCGGAGGTCTGCTCCGTCGCCGCTGGAGCTGCCGCCGATGCCGCCGCTCCGGCCGCCACCGCGGGGCCTCCGGCCATCCCCCCCGCCGCCGCCGCGGGGGAACACTGCCACCGGAGGTCGCCGCGGTCGCTGTTGGAGCTGCCGCCGATGCCGCCGCTCCGGCTGCCGCTGCGGGGCCTCCGGCCATCCCCTCTGCCGACCCCCAAGAACGCCTATTTCCTCGAAAGCCCTGGCTGCTGAAGCCGAAGGTGCAGTGTTAGGAGTAGGTGGGCACCCCAGTCGGCGTGCTGATCTTGTACGTCGTCGACGAATGATCCTGGCCTGAGTTAAGATAGAAGCACCGCTCCCCCTTGCTGTGCATCGTGGACGGGCGGTGACGGTGACGGAAGCCGGGCATCATGAACGGCAGAAGCACTCGGATCCTCCTCCTGCCGTACAGCTTAACTTCCGGGCACCGCTTGTCTTCCTTGCTCACCTCCGCTGCGATGTTCAGAGAGTCGTTCATCCACGCGAAGGCATCGGGCCAGATGGTCCGGAAGGACAGCACCTTTGTCGGGAACGTAACTCCGGGGGAAAGCTTCGGGAATTCCAGAAACGCCNTACAGCTTAACTTCCGGGCACCGCTTGTCTTCCTTGCTCACCTCCGCTGCGATGTTCAGAGAGTCGTTCATCCACGCGAAGGCCTCGGGCCAGATGGCCCGGAAGGACAGCGCCTTGGTCGGGAACATAACTCCGGGGAAAAGCTTCGGGAACTCCAGAAACGCAGCCTTGCCCCCCTCCATCACTAGTGCAATCCTCCGCTCCACACGACCGTTGCTCTTGGGCCCGTCGACCGCCGTGAGCTCCCGCGTAATGTTCAGCTCCGCCAGCAGCCCCCGAAACTCCGCGTTGACCCACTCGGTGCCGTTGTCGATCAGAACGCAGCCCAGCCCCCCGTGAGTAGCCACGAGCGATTTGATGGAGGCATACCACGCACGAAAGGCCGCAACCACGTTTGTACTGCTCTTCTCCCGCAGAAAGCAAATCCATCCGTAGTTGGTATGGTGGTCCAGGATCTGCATCACGTACTTGGCACCGCCGCTGGATTGGCCGAAGGGGTCGGCTAGGTCCATGGCGACACGTTCAAGAGGTCGGCCGCGTCGTCCGGCGAGAGGGGGAGATGATCTTGGGGACCGAGCGCTGGATCGCCTTCGACTCCGCACATCCATCGCAGTACTCCGGAGTGCCGGTCACCTTGANGCTCTTCTCCCGCAGAAAGCAAATCCATCCGTAGTTGGTATGGTGGTCCAGGATCTGCATCACGTACTTGGCACCGCCGCTGGATTGGCCGAACGGACCGGCTAGGTCCATCGCGACACGCTCAAGAGGCCGCGTCGTCCGGCGGGAGGGGGAGATGACCTTGGGGACCGAGCGCTGAATCGCCTTCGACTCCGCACATCCATCGCAGTACTCCGGAGTGCCGGTCACCTTGATACCCATCTGCCTGGCGGTCTCGTACAGCGTCTTGGAATTGGCATGACCGAGGGAGCAGTGAAGAGCGTTGTAGTCGATGCTGGATTGCGTGCCAGGCCGTAGCATCACCGCAACCATCGCGGGGGGCTGAGGAGGTGAATCGCCTTGAGGCAGTGGATCAACGCGAGTCCCCTGGATGTAATCCCCGTAAGGGAATTTTGTCATGCGCACCCGCCCCCCCAAGATCGACGCTCCATGGCGGTTAAGCTTTATCTCATGGCGACCCTGGATCTTGTTCAGCGACAGAATATCTAGCGCCAAACCCGGTACCACACCAACATTGTGCGGGGTGACGCGCACGTCCTCAGGGCAGTGGAAGATCACATCCAAGTCACCGAAAACCTCTACCGGGATGTGCTTGCCGTCGCCAAGCGTCACCGAAAACCTCTACCGGGATGTGCTTGCCGTCGCCAAGCATGAGATGTCGCTCCTCCGGGAGCGGCGGGCGCCTGTTGTACACGTTTTCCCCAGAAGGGACCACGTGGGCTACGGCGCCGGTGTCTCCAAGGCAGACCGTCGAACCCGGGCGATGTGGGAAACGTCGGATGTTTTGCGCACGGGGGGGGATGAGGTAACGGAACAGACAAAGTGCATCGCGAAGAGACCGCCACCGAAGGTACCCTCGCCGTCGCGAAGCGCCTCAGGGCCCGCTCCCGCCGCCACACCACCGCCGCTGCCGCCGCCATTTTCACCTTCCACGCCGCCGCCGCCGTGAAAAATGTCGGCAAAATCAAATAGGGTTCGCCCGGTGTCACGACCTGCTGCTGTACGATCACCCCACCGCCACCACCGCCATCGCCACCGCCGCTGCCGCCACCGCCAGCACCACCACCACCGTTGCCGCCGCCACCAGCGCCGGCCAGCATGGTGTCACTGTAGTATACGCCATCGGCCGCCGGGACATCACGAAATTGGACGGCCGATGTATCCGCGGTGGTGTACGCGTACTCCGGACCGAGGGCACCAGCAGAAGTGACGACGTTGAGGTGGGGGTGCCGGTTGCTTTTGGCACAGTTGCGCCACATGTGACCGTACTGGTCGCACGCACCGGACGTGCCCTCGAATCTGCGGGGGGCGGCGCAATCTATGGCGTGGTGACCGTGCCTTCCACAGCGGCCGCATCTGTGCACTGTGCCCATCGGCGCGCCAGGTGGAGGTGGTGATTCCGGCTGATGATACACGGCATTACAACCGCAATCGTAGATGCCACCAACACCGTCCATAGCGGGCTGTTGCTGCTGCCGCTGCTGCTGCGGCTGCCGGTGCGACTGCATCTGCGACTGCGGTTGGTACGTCTGTTGGTGTCGCATCTGCTGTTGCGGCTGTTGGTACGACTGTTGCATATGCACCTCCTGCCGCGGCTGTTGGTACGGCTGTTGCATCTGCCGCTGCGGCTGTTGCGGCTGCCGGTACTGCTGCACCTGCAACTGCGGCTGTTGCGGTTGGACAGCACCGCCCCCAGAGGACCAGTGTTGCCCGCGGCCGTCGCCGTTGTTGCCATTCGGCCGCTGGCCTCCGGCCCCCCCCGCTCCCCCCGTTGCCGCCGTGTCCGAAACCACGGCCCACAACAAGAGCATGGGGGTTTGCAGAAACCGCCGGCGTCGCAGCTGCCGACCCTCGCTCCCTCATCTCGCTGGCCTTGAGCATGGCGTATCGACCCGCACGACGTCCTGCAACTCAGCGCGGGTTGAGTCACGCTTGGAAAGACTGGTGCGCTTCTCGACATCGTAGCGTGCGGGGAGTTGGCGCACAAGGATCTGCAGAACTTCCTGCTCACCCTTAGCAATGCCCACAGCCCGCAACTGGGTCTCCAGTTGTGCGACGCTCGAGAAGAACAGCTTGGGGTCCTCATTCATGGTTACATTGTCTAACTCGGCCACGAGAAGCTGACGATCAGCTGGGTGGTTAGGCAGAAACCAACCCTCCATCATCCTCCACGCTTCAGCCACGGAATGGCAAGAGTACAGGTTGTTCTCAACTGGGGCCCCCACCGCTGCCTCCAAGATAAATTCCATGTCCTCTTGTGCTCAACAACCAGCTGTGCACCATACTGGCGAGTCAAGTATCCTTCATCCTGACAACTGACAACGGGAACCTCAGCTCTGCCGGAGATTGTGTGCTGGAGATTATGGTTGTCCACGTAGGCCAGAGAGCGTTTCCGCCAACTGAGAAAGGTGTCGGCGGTGCAATTTGACGGGATTCTAGGCACAGGAGTTATGGAAATTGTACCTCCCAAAGGCAAACCCGGCACCCCAGTACCGCCGTCATGACTAACCCGGCTGGCCACATTGGCCTCATCGGTGCAGATGAAGCCCCTCCAGGAGCAACTAGACCGTTGCCTCCTGGGCTGCTGCCGGCAGGTGCACCCGCCGACCGCGGCTGTGCTGCCCTTAGTTCCTCCGTCTCAGCCTTGGCCTCCTTCGTCTCAGCCTTGGCAACATCTAGAGCTCGTAGCGCCTCATCCAACCTAGCGCGCAGAGCTGCGTCCTCCTCCGTTCCAGACATAGCAAACTAAAACTCTAAACCCTCCCTGCTGTCCCAGCCTCGAAGCGCTGTCCCAGCTATAAACCCTGCCGTCCCGGTCCCCGCAATGGCCACCGCACCAGCTATGCACTGCTGTCCTCGCCCCCTTCGGCCGCGATCCCAGCTATGAAAATGGTGTCCGCTGCCCCGATGGCCCAGCTCCCACCGCTCAAACGCCAGTACCCACTACCAACACCAGGCCTTACAATATATTGTGTTTGGGTGCGGTAGCTCGTCAGAGGCCGAAAGAGAAAGAAGGTTGACTCAAGACCTTGTTGCTTAGAGAGTGAGAGACATGCGGTAGGCAACACCATCGCCGTGCAGCATGCCCATCAACACATTTCATCCGCGTATCCCCCCGGAGGCTCCGTATATAGTATACTCTGCCTAGCACCCCAAACAGCGATGAGCGGTAATGAGCGGCTGCAGCATAGCGGTAATATACGGTCAGACCACAAAACCGCGGGAAAAGTACACAAAAAGGACCCCCTTGCCGGCCAAAATAATTTTAGCCAGGCGCACACCACCATTGCATGTTTTCCGGAAGTATCAAGGGGGGGGCGTTGGGGGACTGCGATGTTTTCGATGGATTTTTCGTTTTTTCTTGGCGCGCTGACAATTTTTGACAAAGAAACAACCCCGACGAAACTTGTCCCGTTGATGCCACAACTACCACATCCAGCAGCTGCGTGCTCATCAGAACGCATCAACGCCCCTGAGGCCTACTCACCTGGTGAGCAGCAGCGCCAGTTTATTTACCTCACAACGCTGTTTGGGCCAGCAGATAGCTTCATTCTTCGTCGGATTGCAACCTCCAACGACTGCGGCTCGTAGGCCATGGGCGATGGACACCTGCTTTTCGTTGTTCATCCAGCCTTTCGCTCACGCAACTCTCCACGTTCTCCACGCCTGCATCGAAGTTTGAACTCGCTGCCTCTCGGCATATGAGGCATCGGAGGTTCAGGACGGCGTTTCATCTGGACCTCTTGTCGAGTGCAGTCGTCTGAACTTGAGCACCGGTCACCGCCGGTGTGAGCGGTAAGCGCTCCCTTCCTTTTGTGCTTTTTTTGCATTAGCAACAGAAATGCCGCGACCCCCGCTTGTCCCACTCGCTGCGTTTGTTGCCTTTCCCGGCGTATGTAGGTCACCGCGAGCGAGAGCTGGCCGTCGAAGGCGGACGTTCTCGCATGACTGGACGAAGCCATGTCGGATCTCTGCCGCATAACGATCGGAGGCCAAAACCTCCCGGCCGTGGACCTGAAGGACCGCGTGGACCAAGCGGTTGCCGCACTGCAACAACTGTCCCTAGGTCGGTTTGGGCCCCGCCAGGCAGCACCCGCACACGATGTCAGGGTGTTGACCCTGCTGGAGAAGGTAACCCTCTTGGGCCCCGGAGAGAGTGAGAACCTCGACGAGGTAGCGACAGTCCTGTCGGTCGCCTTGTCCAGGTTGTCGCTTGGCGCCGACCCAGGCTGCAAGAGAGACGACGAGACGGAAGAGATGGAGGACCAGACAGAGAACCGCACTCAGATTTCTGGGCAAATGTATGGGTGGAACTCTGCGAAGCATCTGCCCAGCAGGAGGGTGAGTGCGGGTTAGGCTTTGTGTGGCTTCATTGCTTTTGTATGATAGAAACTTGGGGCTCGCCGCGGGACGTCCGAGCACTTGGTGCACCCTGTCGATTTCCTCTGCTGCTCCTTGTCGTTGTCGCTACGAGGGTGCGTGAGTTTTTTTTTGCCAAAAAAAGTTTTACACCACAAGTTCCCACCTTGAGCTGCAAACAAGCACATGAAGCACCCTGAGATACGGTGAATCCGAACATCCCTCTCTCGCCTTGTTGTGACCATTTTTTTTCTCTTTACTGCCTCCTCGTTTATCCCACGTGTTCTCTCTGTGGACAGCCGACTCTCGGGGGCCTCTGCCTCCCGTAAACGACGGCGGCAGTGACGGTGGTGGCAACGACGGCGGTGACACAGCGACTGCAAGCAGAGGGATATCCATTTCTTTGTCGCCGTCCCGTGCTTCTTGTTTGAGTCTGGCTCTACTGGAGATTGCGTGCGTTTGCTCGCGCGGGTAAAGGAATGTGCTGCTTGAATTAGTTCTGCTTGTGTTTCATTGGGCCCTTTGTTCCCGTGTTATTGGGAGAGCTACTGCAGCAGCACAGTACTACTGTGCATACGTAAAAAAGTACAAAGCATGTTAATATAAGCGCCTCGTTTGTCTCAACAGCTCCACCGTCACACAAACGGGGAAGCATTGTAAAATATGTTCGTTGTCAACTGTTGTCCAGGCGTTTCGACCGTGGCAAGCCTAGGTCTAAATGTACAACAATTCAACAACAGCGCTAAAATTTGTCTTAGATTCGATTCTTACTAGTCGTGAGCGAGTAGCGCGCGAAGTCATGTGTTGTAAATGAAAACTACAGAGTTCTCGGGGTAGCATCTAGACAACCAGTTCATACAAAGCGAGTGGGGGCAATCCAGAAACGCCAAAGTTGCTGTACGGAACGCAAAGAAAGCTTTTGGTGTGTAGCACGTGGTCCTGTGTGCGTTTTGCCGTGGCGTGACTCCAAGTTTAGTGGTGACGTTTTGGCTATCCGTTGAAGAGTCCTCCCTGTTGTTTTGGCGTGTTTATCGTGCTGTGTATCCTGTGGGGCTTTCAAAAATGTCCTTGAGGCGGTTTTGTCGGAGACCGTCAGTCGTGCATGTGTGACATGTGTGCTTTTTATCTATCGTCGACTGCGGTAAACCTTTGCTGACAAATGTCAAGATGTGTCAGTCGCAGTGTATGCTTACATCGCATGGCATGCGTCTTAACGTTGTGTGCCAACCAATCGGCCTTGGAAATGATATTGTTGCTTCGAGTGTATTGAGTTTGTTTTTGCTTCTGAAGAGCAACGATTTACAGGTGTGTTAATTCTGCAAGTTCTGCGCCATCATTTTAAGTTTTGGTTTTGTATACTTCCGCGCGTTGCGACGGGTTCATTGAACGCTTGGCTGCATTTATTTGTTTGTTTTCATGCGCATCGCGCTTCTTGGAGATTTTTTCTGGGTTCAATATTTTCTTCGTTCTGTAATTTCAACAGGTGTAGACTAGTCTATACCGTTAGTCAATTTAGGTAGTTGGTTTGTGACAACAGAAGACGTCCGCGTCAGCATGACCAGTACGAATATGTGAAGGTGCTGAGCGGAGATTTAAAATGTTTCTTGATATTTAGAAATGCACAGCAGTGTGTTGCCTGTTGCCGTTGACAAAAGCGCCCAGCAACTCGATTTGAATTGCATTTGCTGTGCCCCTGCCGGTACTGTTGAAATGAAGCAATTGCAGGCATCATGTTCTGCAGCACCCTGGTTGGCCAACTGTTTTGAGCAAATTACACGTGTAGCACCGACTGAGAGCCTTTCGTGGCAACTGTACAGTATTGGACTGCCGCGTATCTGTGTGGTTGTGCTTGATGTGCCCATCGTGATGCTTGTTGGAGGAGGATGGCGAAACATGTGTTGTTTCTCGTGGGTAAGCGGGGGGAGGATAGCCCCGTCGATCGAAGGACAGCGCATGTTGAACAACACAGATTGCCGTCGTCGTTTGTCGTTTGTGGACAGCAGTTGGAGTGCGGTGTGTCTATCTTTGCTGCGATGATGCTAGGAGAAGACGCCCGAGTCGAGGGAGGGAGAGGGGGCGTGTGTGGGCGTGAGATGCTTCGGGGACCGCCAATGAAGCGACGTATGAGTATTGCAGTGGTTATATTATACACGTGGATGGCAATGGCCTGACAAAGGAGCTGCAGTGAATTGCCTGCAGCAATAGAGGCGTTTGCTTCAAACTTATTTGGCGTTGCCTTCTGTTGTCGCCTCTACTTTTGTTGTCGAGGAATGGCGACGAAGAAAGAAGAACTGTTGGCCTGCGCGGCGAGAAGAGTCAAGGAGAGGTTGAGAGTGCGTTGGCCGCGTGCGTGCGTTTGAGCTACGGTGACCGGCAACGGTGTGGCCCACGCCGAGCTATCATCAGCTTTGGGAGCTTCGAACGCCTGTGTCTATTGTGGCGCGTGTGGTCGCGCTGCTGTACAGAGGTGAACTTGCGGGGAGGAAATAAACGCTATTCGCAGCATGAACCAAGACGATCTCTGGGTACCCACACGACATTATTGTTGGAAATCGCGGAAGAAAGCATGGAAGACCAGTACCGCGTCCTCGTTGTTCTTCACTTTCCCTCTTGTCGCAAGTCGCGCAGACTATTTCCGGACGTGTGGCTCGGGGCACATTCACGCGCATCCGTAGATGACGCAGACGGCACTTTGGGGACACTCCGGCAGCGCAAAATCGCTTTGTACGATAGTCCTCACCAACTTGTCAAACCGCCACTCATTCTACTTCTTTCGCCCGAACATTTGGTGGGCAACGATATTTACGACTTCGTGGAGAAAACCAAACACACACTACATACATACATACATCACCGCCCTCAACCACCCTTGCACGCACAGTAACTCTCTACCCTGATCACCCGCGTCGTACCGGACGATCCCAGAAACAAAAGGAGGCGTGTCGAACGCGAAACGTCTCCCGTCGAAAGAGATCCCGCCGGCCACCCCGAAACATCACTGGGCGAGCATGATCCAAGTGCAGCTCGCCCAACGGCTACCGATCGGTATGTAACACCAACAAAACGGCCTGCAGAGCAAATCATGCGCACTAGGGGAAAAACATCTGCCACACCAAAATACGACCGCTCGTCTGCATATTGCACACCTTCACGAACAGCCAAAAACTTCTGATTGCCCTTCGAACAAAACCCCTTCCGCCATGCCTTCACCCGCCATTCAAAGCGCCCTACGAGACGAACAACGGCCTATCGTGAAACACACACGAAACATGAAATCAAATCATGCCTGGGCCTCTCGAAAAACATTTAAACGTGCCATCTACCCCAAAAAACAGAAAAAACGAGCCTGCGCCAACCGACCGCTGGTGGCGGTCATCTCTTGTACAGCGACCTCGGGCGTACGTAGCCAGGATAGGTCATGACCCCCGAGATCCCGTGCACGACCCCGTTCACAGCGTTCAGGTCCGGCAGCACAACCTCGGCAGTGAAAGCTCCAAGAAATAGATCACCACCACCGCCACCACCTCCCTTGTGTTGTTGCCCTCCGCCGTCAGGCCCCACAAAAACACGCACACAGTCGCTGCTTCCTGCCGAAGCGCCACTACCACCGTCGTTGTCGGTGGCGGCACCGGCAGCCGCAATCTGGACAGAAAGCATTCTGGCCTGCGCACGGTCGCTGCTCCCTTCGTGATCACCACCATCTTCGTGGTCGAGCAGCGTCCACAGCTGGGGACCCGACACGAACCGGTCCCCGGAAAGCGTGGACCGTTCCTCGGCGGTGGCGTTCGCAAGGGACGGCGTGAACAGCCTACTCGCCGCCGCCGTTGTCGCCGTCCCAAGAGCCACGTGGAAGCGGACCAGCTTCGTCAAGCTCTCCGTGTGGGAGGCGATGGTCATGAGCCCGGCCACCTGCTCCAGCGCAGAATCCACCGGAGCGAACACCGTGAAAGGTCCCGCGGTCCGGTCTGAAAGGAGTTCGGCCAGGCCCGTCTGAGGCAAGAGGGCGGACGAGGCGGGCGCGCCGGCGGCGGGCGTTGCGGGAGTTAAAACGACAAATTTGTTTGTCCTCATGGGTGAAGTCGAACAGAGAGAATGGAGTGTGCGGTTGCGGTACAATTTGAGCGCGATGTTGCGGTCGGCCCACAGGAGAATGTGCTGGTCTTGTCCTGTGGGGAGCGTGTGCAATTGCAGCGCTTTACATACAACCCGAAATAGCAAGAGCGCCCCTATCCGATTCGCCCTCGTTACGCTGAACAACCACCCACCAGCTCGATCCAGTCTGCCCACCCCGTAAGCTGCGGGTGCGAGGAGAGAAGCGAGAACACGTCCGGGGCAGGGACGCGCAGCGGCTCCGAAATCTGGTGGATCCTTCCGTTGAGGGCCGCCATTCCTACCTCGGGCCGGAGCACCTGCGCGGCAGCGGGAGTGTGCACGCGGCGTCACGCGACACACAGCAGGAGGGGCGATTGGAGAGAGATCGGGCTTGTGAGCTTTTGAAGGGTACAGCATGCATGGAAGACACCATGGGGTGACACCATGCAAGGATAATTGTAAGACACAGGCAATACTCCCGCAGTGTTGGGACCTCCGTTGGCTTAATCCACCCCCTGGGCCAAGCCAAGCCATGCAGTTGGCGAGCTTCCACAACCGCCGCACGCCATCTACGGATCATATCCTGGTAACGTAAAGGCAGGGTCGGTCCCGCCATTGCGGTAGCGCTTATGAACATTTCACAATACGCTCGTCGTCTTTGGGGTGCCGTGAGCAGTGAGCTATACGCACGATACATGACCACCCGCTTCTGCGGAATGATTCCGCAGCAGTTTGTCAGCGCTGCATACGGATCAGCACATACTCGGGCGGTGTGGTGGACCAACACTACCACCCATATCGAAAACAGCGGGCCAGGCACCACAATATCCGGAGGCACCCTCCTCGCAACACCGCAGACCCCCGACGACGTCACCAGTCCCTCATTTAGACGTTCCAGACCCTTCGTCGAGCACGCTGTCAGAGTTCGTGTTGCAGGTCACTGGGGTGGTTGTCTGTGCGGGGGGGAAGCAGTGGCCGCGGTCGTCGGCGTCGCCTGTGCTTTTATCTCCGGCTTCCTGCTGCCAAAAAAGCTGAAAAGGCAGCACGTAGATTGGAGATTGGAGCACAGGCGACGCCATCGGCCACGGCCGAGCGCTTCGTCGCCGATTAGGCAGCCAGCAGCACGGACGCTCACAGCGAATGTCGACTAAGGGTCGACCGCAACTCGGCGAGGCAACAGATGGCACCGACAGTGATCTACCGGGGGTGCCTCCGGGTGTTGTGATTCCAGCCCCAGGTTGACCCCAATGTTTTTTCGATCAGGGCCGCAGTGTTGTACCGCCTGTGAGGGTCGGTCTGTTGTGATCCGAAGCGCTGACAGCAATATTAGGCTTCTTCCGTTGTAGCGGTGCTGTAGCGGTGGGTTGTCTTCGTGTATAGCGCTCGGTGCTCACGAAGACAACGAGCGTGTTGTGAGCTTTTCACGAGCTCTACCGCATAGGCGGGGACAGACGAGACCCGATCAGGTTTTGTGGTATCCAGAACGCAAAGCGTGTTCTTTTCAGACAGCCGATGAACAGCAGGGCACACGGGGCACACGGGGCACAACGGATGCCGTGCACTGGAGCAATCGGTGCTGCGCCACGAAAAAGGCTGCGGTTGTGTGAGCCGTCGGGTGCACGGCCAGGAGACTCGAGTTTGGCAAAAACAATACTCCAGGAGCAGAATCAACGATCACATCAATAACAACAGCAACCGACAACCAATAGAAAACACCGCCAGCAACAACAACAGAACAGGCAATCGACCACAGAAACAAGGGGCAACCCGGGAGAGAACATCGATCGCAAAGCAATCATCCCACCCCCATCGTCTCACCTCAGCCTGGTTCACGTTCAGGCCCGACATGCTCGTCGCCGCCGCCGCAGGCGAGTAGAACGGGTTTCCAGGGTTCTCCGAGTTGTTGAAAAGGTGCACGTCCTCACCCCACAACGTTTCGAGCCCAACCGAGTCGATTGGAGCCATCGAATGTCTGCTGCCGTTGCTGCTGCTGCTCCTCTTGGGGGCCCCAAACGTTTGGTCGCCAATCAGGGTTTGATACCTGGCGGCCACGCGTCACAAAACGAGCGGAGGGCGAAGCCGGCGAGAGAGGTGGGGAACGGGTGTAACTCACTGGCTTTTAGACCCAGAAGATCAGGATAGACGGACGTGGGTAAGGGGCGGGGGCCTGAAAAATACCAGTAGCTGTTTACGCCCATCGCAAACCATCAATCGATCACGAACGTATTTCCAGACTGAGAGGTTGGTAGTAACCCCGCCCTTGAAATGAGACAACCGGTGGGGGATAGCGGGCGGCAGGTTTGTTTCAAGCAGATTTGAGGGGCTTCGTCCAATGACGGGGGACGCGGCTGCAGAACCAGTGGGTTGTGTGTCATCTCAGACCGTAGGAACACCGGCAGCCATGTGGAACCGTCCCGAAACGTCTGTTCTTGTTGCACGTCATGATTCCGTAAGGCGGACGAAGTTGGGCAGATTTCTGTAGACGATACGCCAAAAAGGCCCGGACTCGCCGCATGCTGCCGTTGCCTTGCATACGGGTCGGAACTCTGCATGCGGCAGCCAGTGCATTACGACGTGCATTTTCTCCATCCCCGAACTGTCCCACTTCCCCCCCCCCCGGTGTTTGCCATCGGGGTTGGGTTTCCGTCGCTTGGCAATGACGTTGTAAAACAAGCCCCCCCCTCGGTGTTTGCCATCGGGGTTGGGTTTTCGTCGCTTGGCAAAGACGTTGTAAAACAAGCCAATTCACTTCGTGAACTCGGCAACCAGGTTACCGGTTTTTTTTTTCACCTCCGGTTTTTTTTTGCGGTAACCATAATGGTGGCCGAGTAGATCATGTTGTGCGGGGTGGAGAACCCTCGCTCCGCGCAAGGGGGATGATCGCACCACGTTGTGTTAAAATGGTCAAGCACCCTCGAGGCAGTTACACAGTGCTTACAACTGTCTCTGGAAGTGAAAGCACCAGAAA